ACCGGTCCGAGACTCTGTACTTCCCGTTATCAGGTCAATAATTCTCAAATTTTCACATTGTGAATCATTCATTCATTTCATTCATTCATTTTCATTCATTCATTCAAATCATGCATAAAAATTATCGTATCGTGATTGTTGAATACGATACACGACACGCACACGCATGTGCGTGTGCGTGTCTCGTGTTTTACTTTGCGTTTGCTACCGGACAAAATTAGCCGGTTTAGCATAGTATCGAACAAGTTTTTTGCATTGATACCGACGACAGCATTAGCCGGTCTAACGTAACGTAGCTTACCCCTGTCCTTTGCTTTGCACCGGATAGCACGAGCTGGCTTAACGTAGCTTTTTGCCTGGCCTTTAGTCAGAAGTAAGTTCCCCAGCCTCGGGTATGACTAGGTCGCCGGGGCAACAAAAAAAATGCCGGACGACCGTTACGATTTGAGTAATGGCGCGCACTGGGTAGATGGCACGCAAGTCTACCGGCGGCAAGGCGCCGCGCAAGCAGCTGGCCACTAAGGCAGCTCGCAGGAGCGCGCCGGCCACCGGCGGCGTCAAGAAGCCTCACCGCAACCGTCCGGGCACGTTGGTTCTTCGCGAGATCCGAAAAGACCAGAAAAGAGTCTCTGCGAGACCAGAAGAGCACGGAGCTGCTCATTCGCAAGCTGCCGTTCCAGCGCCTGGTGCGCGAGATTGCGCAGGACTTCAAGACGGACTTGCGCTTCCAGAGCAGCGCTGTCATGGCTCTGCTGGAGGCCAGCGAGGCGTACCTGGTCGGTCTGTTCGAGGACACGAACCTGTGCGCCATCCCACGCCAAGCGGGTGACCATTCATGCCCAAGAACATCCAGCTGGCGCGTCGCATTCGTGGCGAGCGTGCTTAAGCGCTGAAAGCGAAATCACCAACAGTTCATTATCAGGACCAGAGACGATGGCATAGAGTACGAGCTTGAATGTGACACGAACGGACGACAGAAGCATTGCCGTCACTGCCGCCTGTTGTTTCAAGTGTGAGAGCAGCATGCGCGCTCTGCCGGACGCTGTCAAGCTGAAGCCCCTTTCCCATCCAGGCAGGAACAGGCCGAAGTCCACATCCGTCACGGGCACATGACGGCACGTCAATGACACATTTGGCATGGACGATTGCACAGCCCAATTATTCGAGGCAGTCTGCGATCTGATACTATAAGAGCGAGTCATGTGGCTCTGATAAGACTGCATTTGCATTGCATTGCATGGCCATTGCAGCGCCCTGATGGACCGAGGTGGCGGCGCGCCAGCCTGCTTCTTGGCCGGCGACTTGGCCTTTTTGGCCTTGGTGGGCTTGGCTTTCTTATCCTTGGCCGGCGACTTGGTGGCCTTCTTCTTGTCAGCCGGGTTTTTAGTGGCCTTTTTGGGAGTCTTCTTGGCCTTGGCCGGGCCGGCGGGCTTCTTTTTGGGTGACTCGGCCGGCTCCTTGGCAGGCTTGTCCTTGGCGGCGGCCGACAGCTTGAACGGACTGCTGGCACCCTTACCCTTAGTCTGCACGGGGCGCACCGCTGGCCACGCCGGACTTGAGGAACGCGCTGGGTGAAAGGTGCCAGCCTCTCGGCGTCTACCTTGTAGTCAGCAGCGGTGTATTTTTAATGGCGACCAGCGACGACCGGCCGCGTTCTCTGAGTGTATTGTTGTTTGTTCTTCCTGCCACCTGTTATTTGATATCATGCCTGCATATCGACATTCTTCCGCTGGATGTGCTCGCGCTCAGCCGGGTCCCGCCGCTTGCTGTCGATAGACCGGCCACGTCATAGTCGACTGAGTTAGCTTCGTAGGTGTTGTGCTCCCAACTGGATGGGACTTTGAGGAAAACGAGCAACATGTTTCAACATTGCTATATGTGATCTTTTATTAATTGAAAACGTCCACATCTAGCGCAAAAAAAAGTTTAAAAATTCACAACCGCAGACCACCGCATACGCACCGTCTTTTATTACAATCGGTTGTCTCCCAGTCAGCGTTCGCAAATGGCACGCACATGGGCTCAACGTGGGGCAAATAGCTTAAGGTGGGCATGGCTATAAGTGGACTTTGAACTGGGGTTCAGCCTTGTCTCACATGGTAGCGACCACATCATTTCATATTTCCGCATGTACCCCAAATAGTTGTGTGTTGCAGGGGCGGATCCAGAGGGGGAGACCTCGAGGCTATTGCCCCCTTGGGTCTCGAAGGGGCCCATTGGCTCCGCGTGGCTCATCGCCGGCCGAACAGAGGCAGTTTTTAACACAAAACGCAACAAAACTGGACATCTCTGGACTTCCAGACGACCAAGAACAGTTCGTAAGTGTAAGTGAAGTGAATTTATAAGCAAGTGTAAGTGAAGAGCCTGTGAGAAGTCAAAAAGTTATTAAATGATTGGAAAAACTGTGAACTGGAAATTTTAAGACTCACTACACTGTCTGGACGCCCCATGCTGTTTCTGGGAGACGTATGTGCCCAATATATGCAAGATTATTTCGATAGTTGAGGAGCATGCCACGTTGCCCTTTTATTTCTTTGCATTTGCTCGGGGGGCCCTGTGCTGTTGTTGGGGCTCTTCCTGCTAGCGTGCTTGGGCACTCTTGTCAATCACGGGCCATTCCACGTGTTCTTTCCATTCGCCAGGAAGGCTCTGTGGGCTATAGCCGGGGTCCCATACCTTAACCTGCCGGGGTATTCTCGGCTGCTCAAGGGGCCTTTTCCGTTAGTCTCAGTCAACCTACTGATACACTTGCGATATACTCATGGGCCCTTTTTCTCTATCACTTGCTTAGTTCCCTGCACTCTTGTAGGGGGTCCATCCGATGGCCTGCTTGGGCACACCAGTCGTTCGGGGATCCTTCACATTGGGTCTTGGGTACTTCTTTTCTTAATGGGGAGCCCTACCCTTTCGGGCGGGAGGGCCTATCTGATAATCTGCTCGGGCACATTCAATCGTTCGGGGGCCCTATGCACTAGGTCTAGACCACGTGCTGTTTGAACGCGGCCGTACGTAATTGTCGGGGTCTGTTTGCCTCCTCGGCCACACTGGATTGCTCGGGGGGGGGGGGGGGGCCGGAACATTGGTTCTTGGTGTTTGAATTTAGGGCCGTCTGCTCCTATCGGGGTCATCTGATAACCTGTTCGACTACACTCCATCTTTCGGGGCCCCCCGCGCCGGGTTTTGGGCACTTCTTATTTGAATGGAGGGCGTTGCGCTCCTGTCGGGGTCCCTTCTGATAAGATGCTCACGCCCATCCGATCGTGGGGGACCAGACAGCCTCCCCGAACTCCGGGTCAAGACGAGTGGCCAGTAGTCTACGGCGGGCCGAAGTGTGGCAGGCCGGCCAAAAAGATGTCGCACTTGCGGGAGGGCCCACAGACAGGTCAGACCTTCCAGGTCGACCACTGCACGGCGTGACTTGTCTGTGCGAAAACGGGAGCCACGCTGGGATAACTTCCACGTATCTCCGTGGCGCTGCTACAGGACGAAGCCCAGGCCGTGGTTTGGTGGAGAGTCCGTCTGGAGCATGGTGGACAGCCGCGAGTCAAAGAACGCCAGCACGGGTGACGCCACCAGCGCGCCTTTAACGTCCTGAAACGCCTCCTCGTATTGCTAGGCCCATCTCCAGACAGTGCACTGCTTCAGCAGGTTTCGGAGAGGCTGGGCCGCGCTGGTGGTGTCTGCTGAGAAGCCCGCCAGCTGATTGCAGAGTCCCAAGAACTATCTCAAGTCAGTTAAGTTCTCTGGACGCGGGAACTCTGAGATCGCCTGCAGCTTGCCGTCGCCGATCGTGTAGCCTTGGTCAGAGATCCGACAACCGCTGTAGTCAAGCGACTGCCGAGCGAACTGGAACTTCCACAGGTTCATCATATCAGCATACTTCCTCTCTCCCGGCAGCGTCCGAGGGCGGCTCATGTTCTCTGATGACGGCGCCTGGGGCCGAAGACATGCTCCCATACAGGCAGGGGGCTGGGTGTCAGCACCGGGGACGGCGACTCAGGGGCATCCGGGCCGCGTGGAGCTCCGCACCCCGCGGCTCCCGAGCGGCACCCAGCTGCCCGGTGATCCGGCTCGCGCTCTGCACGCTGTAGGAAAAGCAGGTAGGCGTCGGTGGCTGTCCGTGCTGCAGGGTACAGCCGGCAGACGGCGCTGGGTATCGGTCAGCAGGAAGCGCTAGTGAGCCGTGGGCACGCGGCGAGGAGACCTGGCGGTCGCCACTCCGGTCCGCGCGTGGATGGTCTGTATCGGAATGGCACTGCGCGACGCTGGCTGGAATCTGGGCCGGAGAGTCTGCAGGTGGAATCCGTGGACGCACAGCGTCACACCAGCTTAGCGGAAACCCAGTGCCACCTGTCGTGGCATGGATGCATGTATGGCATGGATGTATTCGACAGTTGGTGAAACCGTTATAAAATACTTTCATGCGTGCGCTACCGGCGGGACAAAGCCCAAACAATGTTGTTGCGGAAGCACTATCAGACGCCAATATAAATTACTGATCGGACGACACGACGGTTTTGCGTTATGACGGTTCATTGCAAAACGTTGCTAGAGCCGGCCGGTAGCGTGTTAGCAGGAGTACGGTGACCCGTCAACGAAAAGATGCAGGCGGACGCAAATATAACCATCACGCATTTCTGTTAGCCCTGTTCTACAGGCATCATGTGCCAGTTGGACCGTTGTCTTTGATGACGTAATTAACAGTTGTCGGTCGATGTTCTAACGGTGTATCCACTCAGCTCTGGTGAGACGGCTCATTGGAGTTACCGAACGCCATCTTAAATAATTTGATACGTTCGTGGAGAGTGCGACCATGCTAGAACAGTGTTATTGTGCAAGCACTACCAGACGCCAATACAAGTCGCTGATCGGACGACGTGACGTTTTTGTTTGACGGTGCGTTGCCGACTGTGGCCAGAGACGACCGGCAGCGTGCTGGCCAGGCTTCCGTATCCCGGGAACATTTCGTCAAAGCGGGTGCAAAGATAACCACAGTGCATTTTTGTTACCACTATTCTACAGCTGTCAGGCGCAAATTTAACATATTTTTATGACGTCATTGATATTTCCCGGTCCCAACGGCGCATGTATCCAGTGGTGACTAGCCGGCTGTTTCTGAAGTTAAGGAAACCAATCTAAAATACCTTTACGTGTCACCGGGGTGTGCAGCCAGGCTCAAACAATGTCTTTGTGAAGCACTATCGCACGCCGATAAAAAATATTGATCAAACGACATGGCGTTATTGCTCAGCGGTGCATTTCCTACTGTAGCCAAAGCCGGCCGGTAGCGTGCTGGCCAGATCAAGGTAGCCCGGAAAAATTGCTCATTGGCAGCTGCAAAGATAACCAATGTGCATTTTTGTTAGGACTGCTTTATAGCTGTCAGGTGCGCGTTGAGCATATTTATTTGAAGACGTCATTGATATTTGCCGGCCCATGCTCGAACGACGTATTCACTCAGCGCTGGCGAGCCGGCTAATTCCAGAGTTAACGAAGGTTATCTAAAATGCTTTTATGTTAGGGCGGAGGGTGCAACCATGCTCCCTTGAGGCAGAAGCACTGTAAAACAACATTATAAATCGCTCTATCGGACGACATGACGTTTTTGCGTGATAACGGTGCATTGCCGACTATGGCCAAAGTTCAAGGTAAAGTCGCCGTTTGGTAACTAGAAATGCAGCACGAGCTTAATCCGGCACCACAGTTGTGTAAATCTCGTTTTATTTCAGGTAGGCACCTTTCTTCGTGTGCAATGTGCAGTGCGAGACAATCCTTTGGCTTGCAATTTGTCTTCAACACGGTTGAGATTCATGAAAACCTGGATACCTCCACGTGGCTAGTGTAAACTGCCGATCGCCTTACAGCAATTTTGACCGCCCCTGTCTCTTGATCCAGACACTTTCTGCTTTGGAGCTGCGCTGCGGGCTGGATACTGAAGTGATGTGCCAGTAGAGCCGGGCTTGGATTGCCAAGCATGGGTTTGGCGATGACCTGAGGAAAAAGGCAAAACCAAAATGCACTGAAAAACAGGCTTTCTCCCCAATTTCGACTCGCTTCCCTCTTAAGAGGTGTGGGGGCTGGAATGAGTAAAAAACAACTAAATAGGAAATAACTAAGCGGGAAACAACAGAACAGATATCAGCTGTATAGGGAAACAATTAACTAGCATGTCACGTCCCTGCTTTACCAAGTTTTCTCGCTCTGCCTCAGCGGCAGATGTCGTCGAACATCATCATAATGTCGTTTGACGTCGGCGAACGAAGCCAGCTTTCTGTTATCACAATAGCGCCGATGTAGCAGATACGGCCGTCGTCGTTTTGCGCGTTGAGGAAAGCGCCGACAGTGCGGTGGTTAACTTGCGCGTCTGGGAAACCGGAGGTACATGGTTCGATTCCTCGCTGTACCTGTCCTTCCTGCCATGATGACAGGCAGGCGACGACATATAGCCTCAGCAGGTGGGTGCGTCGTAAGCCCCAATAATGGCGGCTAAACCCAGATGAAAAATACCCGTATACCCGGGTACAAATTTTAAGCTTCAAGGAGGTCACTGCGCTGGCTTAGGTCAGTCTGAGGCCAAAGTAAAAATCTAACCCTTAAGACTTTTTTAGGCCTTGGCAGACTTGGGAAATATTGAAGAAGCGTCCCGATGTGAGTACACATGTGCATTCACTGGTCTGGTTTCCTCTTTAGACATTGTGGAGTACTACAATTTAAAGCTGCCAGCGAGTATTCCAGCAGTGGCTAGCCGGACTGACAGATACCATCACTGCTCCTGAGTGACTGGGCCCGTGCCTTAAGGCTAATTGTCAATCAAACACATTCGTAGCGCAGTTTATATATTTTGGCTCCGAAACTTATTGAATTATTGGGTCAAGTAGTCAAAAAAAGAATTGAGCTAAACGAAGGGTCATTGGTTCAACAAGAAAAATTAAGAAGGAAAATTTCCAATAATATCATTCGGATAAGCCTATGCCAGTGACCTGAAGTACGATACCGTTTAAAATTGCCGACAACATACAGCACATGTCTAAGGATACTCTGGGACGTAGTTAAGGATGAGGCAAAGGGGGACATGCCCCCTGAGCCAAAGGCGTATGCTAGGTACTGAACAATATCGCAAACATTTGGTCCAAATTTGCAGGATTTTGCAGAATGTTTTACATTTGATGTCCGCGAGGAAAATTTTGGCTCCGTGTCTAGGGAAAAGGTGCGAAAAATTTCGCGGGCATTGCGTCGTTTCAGTTTCGCGGCGCACCAGACAATATTTACGTCGTCACAGATGTCTCTCCACTAGTTGCACACAGTTTTTTAAGCCATGCTACCCACGGAAGTATACCTCCTTTAAAATTTATTTCGCACCTTTTAGAATTGCTGACTTTGCGGAACCCAACGTCACGTGATGCAGTATTTGCTGTGTGAGCACCCCTACCTCCGATCGTGGAATTTCGGATCGATGCTAGAATTTGGTGACGAAAGTTTAGCGTGCCACAAAACACGTCACGCTCCATCCTACCACGTGATAGTATCTAAACTTAAGCGCGGCAGCTGTCACCGGCCGCAAACTGCGCCTGGAAGTACGGACAGTGAGCTCTTAAAGCGACTCGGACGCAGCCCGTCACGGGTGGGCGAATCGGATCGAATCGGATCGAATCGGATCGAATCGGATCGAATCGAAATCGAAATCGAAAATCGAATCGAATTGGCCAGCGCTCTAACCAACTGAGCTATTAGGACAGACCTCAAATGCGTTTTGTTCTAACTCCATTAGTTGTCAGATGTCACTTATGTCAACCAAAGAGACGCATTTTCACTTATTTCTTCTTTTTTCCAAGGTCCAACTTTCTTCTTCCCTACTCCGCGGAGGCCGCGCGTAACAACCCTACCGAGGCGTGCCAGGGGAGGCCCCAAGAGGCGACAGCCTCTTACCATTTGCGAAACGGGAAAATATATCCCCCCCTCCCCCCCCCCCCCCAGTCCGTTCTCCGCTATGTGAGGTACAACGCATGGTAACCCATCTCTGAAGTCCCAGAACTTGATGGTCTGCTCATGACCGTGCTCATCACTTCTTCAGTGTCTTCAGCCACAGCTAGATGCAGTTTCAGCGCGGAACAGGGGAGGCTTTAGCCCAGCGCCAATATTTCGAATAACTTATCACTTAATTGGTGCCGGTTCATGGAAAGAAACGATTCAAAGTGCCTGGCTGCCGTAAATTGGCTACCACGCTCCTCCACGTTGAAGTCAGACCGACCACAGAGCCTCCATCGGCTGGTGACTCATGTTACAGCGCCAGCTGACGACTGAACACAACTGCTTTCAAATCTACACGGTCAAATACTATCCGCACAATTACACCTTTTGTTAAATGACTAGTAGTTTAGCAAATCCACGCTCTCCCTGACCACCCACACCCGGAAATACGTCAGAAGCTCATGCCAATCAAGAAGGTGCCTTCAACCAAACATGGCGGTATGCTTCCAGTTGATAGTGCTAGCAATCTCATCAAATGCAGGCATTCCCATCCGCCCCACACAATCATAAATACTTGTAATTGGCTACTGTAGTTCCGCTACCGCGCTCTACTCGGGTGCCCGCACCTAGTTAAGTGCTGCCAGGGTGGCACACCATGCGAATAGTTGCCCTCAGCCGTGATCTCAGCCGTGACGATGTTACGGTGTCAGTTCATAGCCCACCCACAATGCTTTCGTATGCACAACGTCGCAGACTCTTCGCTTTAATATAAATATCTTACTCAATATCTTGCGTATTTTAGCACATGGATGCTTCGGCTGGCCACCCACATTGGGGGGGGGGGGAGGGGCTAACCACAAGACAGGTGTTTTCGGCCGAACACCATGTAAGCTGGCAGCCTTATCAAGGTGATATGAAATGCGCACGATGATTAAATAGCTGCCGTA